GACCAGGGGGGAAGGACTGTGCATTTACAGTATGTTAACAAAACTTGGTGTACGAACTCTGTCATCACTGAGAGACACTGCTCAACTAACCTGGAATTTCTTATGGTTAAGTGTAGACCTGTTTACCTTCACAGGGACCAACCACTTCCACTATAATAACTGCAACTTATATCGCCCGGGACTCTAATGCCAAGCTTGCTATGAACGAACTTCATGCGGCTATTAGCAAAAAGACTGCACACCCAGAGGCTGCATTTATTGTTGCAAGTGATTTTAACCACACCAGAGGAAATAAAACTCTGGACCATGTTTACACAAACATGGCTGCTGCATACAAGGTGACCCCCCCTCCCCCACTTGGGACAGTCAGATCACCTTTGTTTGTTCCTCATTCCCAAGTACTCACCACTCATCCACCGTGTGAAGCCGCCTTCAACGAGGACAGACCCTGTACTACAGGACAGGTTTCACCACATGGACTGGAGTAAGTTTGCCTCCTGGGCTACCTGTGACTCTCACTATTAACACTACCATTGATGGTGTCACAACCCAGAAACAGATCATCACGTAGCCAAATCAGAAGCCATGGATGAACAAGGAGGCACAGCTCCTACTGAAGGCCTGCAACTCTTCCTTCAGATCTGGTAATGCACAGGCCTACAGCTTATCCAGGGAAAACCTGAGGAGGGGCATCAAAAAGGCCAAGCAACACTACAAGCTAAAGATCGAGGAACACTTCACAAACTCTGACCCCCAATCTATGTGGAAGGGCATCCAGGTCATCAGTGACTACAAGCCCAGCAACTCCACCCCAACAACCACAGATGTCTGACCTGGGCTTCAGCACCTCCCTCTGCAACTGGATTCTGGACTTTCTGACCAACAGGCCTCAGCTTGTTAGATCAGCCAACATCCGCTCCTCCACCACTATCCTCAACACCGGCATACCACAGGGCTGTGTGCTGAGCCCGTTCCTCTAGTCCCTTTTCACCTACAACTGCAGGCCTGTGCATGGCTCCAACACCATCATCAAGTTTGCAAACAACACCACGGGGATCGGCCTCATCAGCAACAATGATGAGTCAGCCTACAGGGAGGAGGTACAGCACCTGGCTGTGTGGTGCACTGACAATAACCTGCTCCTTAACACCGACAAGACCAAGGAGCTCATTGTAGACTACAAGAGAGAGAAAAGAGGCACACACGACCCTATCCATATTAAGGGGATGGTTGTTGAACATGTCTCTGGCTTCAAATTCCTGAGGACCCACATTTCAGAGGATATGGCCTGGACCACCAACACCCACAGCTTGGTTAAGAAGGCTCACCAGTGCCTCTTCTTCCTGAAAAAAACCACCTGTCTTCAGCCATCCTGGTGAACTTCTACCGTTGTGCCATCGAGAGCATCCTGACCAGCTGTATCACAGTCTGGTATGGAAACTGCTCTGTCTCCAACTGCAGCGGTGCTGCAGTGGGTGGTGAAAACTGCCCAACGCATCACAGGGACTTCACTTCCAGCCACTGAGGGTGTCCACAGGGAACGCTGTCTCTGACGTGTTCACAGCATTCTCAAGGACTCCTCACCCTGCTCACAAACTGTTTGACCTCCTACCCTCTGGGAGGCGCTTCAGGAGCCTCCGGACCAGTAGACTCAGGAACAGCTTTTTCCCCACAGCTGTCTCCTTACTGAACTCTGTCCCCCGTTGACCCCCCACTGCCTTCCTCTATATCACTACACACACTCACCCCTTCTCATTTCTCCTCCTGGGACTAATGCAGTACACTTATGTTACCTGTAACACTGAAGTGATCTGTTAATGTGCACATACTCTACTCACAGAATACTGCTGTTATTCATTTGCACACTATGCACTATGCTGATACTGTATATTTGGAGCCAATCCCAAACTTTGGAAACATTTTACAAGAAGAGGCTGTATTGATTTTTGATGGCAAACTAGACCTACTGCAGTTTGCATAACAGGCTGGTAAAAGACTGGAGAACATTTTTATTCTTGATAGTGTCTAAAAGCATTTTTTAAATAAAATGCAACCTCGCATTTAAATATCCTGAAAGACAGAATTCAGCAAGTGTTAGTAAATGGAGTTAAGTCTCACATTCTGGTTTCAAACATGAGCTCACCTCAGGGGTGTGTACTTTCCCCGCTTCTGTTTATCATATACACAAACCGCTTCAGGTCAGTGAAATAGTGTTCTAGTGAAATTCTCTGATGACACATTACTTATGTCTTTTTTTAAAAACTCAGAGACAGACTGCTGATGTGCTTTACCTGCTTTTGTTGATTGGAGTATAAATAACCTGGATAAGAATGTATCAAAGACCAGTGACTGTTGGCCTTGGGAGAAATGATGACAGACACAAACCAGGCACCATAAACAGCACTGATGTTCAAACTGTAAATACATATACAGTAAGTATCTTGGAACTGTGTTTGATTCAAAATGAAATTTGATGCAAATACAGAATTGATTGTCAGTTGTGGACAACAGAGTATACTTGCTAAGAACGCTTAACATTTTAATGCTTTGTGTTTTATCAGTCTTTAATTGAAAGCCTTTTGACATTTTCTTTTATCCGCTGATTTGGTGGATTATCTGTAAAGGACAGGAACAGTCTTAACACTATAGTTATGATCTGTCCTAAGATATGGTATACAGCTGAAGGATCTGGGCTCCCTTTGGAAAAAACTGGTGATCCAAAAAGCTGAAGGAATCATTAGACAATCCAATCATGTCTTGTCAAATGAACTGAGATTAATGCCACCACGGAGGCATTGTACTTTTAAAAAGGACAAATTCTCATTCTTTTATTCCTTCTGCTATCACGCTGCTGAATGCTGATCATAGGCATTTTATATAATCATCTCTTATGGGAAATATTTTGGTTTATTGTTGTTTTGTGTGTATATTTATTCATTGATTATTTGATTTATGATTTGATTTAGATTTATTTGATTTATTGATTAGTGTCTACCATAGTTTATGTTATATGTTTGCTTGGTTGTGAACTGGTTGATAGTAAAACTGAACTGCCCTTTGGGAAAAGAAAGTTGTCTGAATCCTGACTTAGTCATCCTTGTAGATAGGCAGGCAAAGCTCATCACAGACCCACTTTTTGGAGATTTACAAGGCTCAGCTGTTGAACAGAATGAAGGGCTAGTTTCACTGAGGGAAAGAAAGAAAAAGAAATAGCTTTGCTACTAGCATATCTGCACCAAATGAAGAACGGCCAAAGGTATAGCTGACAAAACATCAAGTAATGTCACTTTCACCAAACCATGCCTTTTCTGCAAAGGAAGTCACACACTAGTGGAGTGTCATCAAATTAGATTTCATAAGGAAGGCTGGTCTCTGCTTTGGATGTCTGAATAAAGGGCATATGAATAAGAGCCATGAGGAAAAATGGTATGCCAAATGTGTTAGATATTCATAGAAAGGACGTTTCCAGGCATGCAGGTGCTGAAGACCAAGAGAAGACTAGTTCAGCGCAAGCAGTAGTCTCCCCAGCACTCATAATCCTAAACCAAAGAAAGGCAGCCTTTGATGGAGCCAGAGACAAATGCATTCTTGCTGTTCTTCCAGTTTATGTAAAATCAAAGAAAGTCAGCAAACCATGCCTTTGTGCAACCCAGGAGCTCAGTGACATTTTGTACAGGTAATAGTAGCATTAAAACATCTAGTAAGAGCAGACTTATACTTTTGGTTCTCACTTATACTGCATTTTTCATGTTACTTTGAACTGGTTGATTAAAAAAAGAAACACATGCAACCAAGACTTAAAAGATGACATTAGTTGAAGAGCAAACATTTGATTTTAAAAACCCAGGTCAAAATGGTCCTGCAACTGCAACTTACACAGAAAAACTGAATAATGATTTTAATGTTCTACTAAATAAATTTGGTCTGTTTTTGCTTGTGAAACAGTTGTAAACTGTCAGTCACATGCAGGGCTGCTTCTGGGCATTTAATGCTTATTTCATTGGTGTGAGAGGATAAGACAAAAGGTGTAAATGGGTTTCACACCAAAAGTGTCAACTCTGGAAACAATGAGACTGTAGTGATTAGCAATAAACAAGATTCCAGAGGTAATATGTAATAAAACAGTATGTAGTTCATATTTAGATAATACTTGTGGTAGTTGTGTAAGGATGTAAGGCTGAGCTCAGTGTGTACGGAAGCTTGATCTGTCTCTGGCGCTTGCAAGAATATCTTGGGCTGTGTCCCTTGTTTAGCCTAGGGGTCAACATCCTGAGTGACTTCCTCCTCAGATAGGGAATGGATATATTGTAGCTGTAGCCTTATGTGAACTGTTCGTGTGCTCTGTTCAGGTTTAGAAAAAGGAAATGTG